TTGAAGCTGGTAACTTATTTAAGTGGATTTTTAAATAGCCCTATTCTTTAAATGCTCATGCAAAGAAAGAACCTGTAGATGGGGTGAGATGCAGAGGTTTGTGCACTGCTGCTTTGGATCTGCAGCGGGCGAGAGGGCTGGGGCAGTAGGTTTATGTAGGAGCTATTGATATCTGTCCTGAGAAAGTCGTTTGCATGGATGAGGTTAGAGACTTTTCTGGGCTCTTGAGGCAAAGGGACTGGCTGCACCTAAGCCCATTGTGCTCTCAGGTCTCTGTTTTTTAGCCTCTTTCTTTAAACCCTGAAAACTCATCTTAGCTTTAATGTATCCTACTAAGGCAGGATTAAACCCACACCATTTCTGACAGAGGTTTGTTTCCAGCCTCTTGACTGAAGGGTATCGAATAACTTTGCTCTCCAGCTCTCAAGCCTGTGCCAAAGCCTCACCAACCTCAGCCTGCCTCCAACCTCTGACCTGGGTCCTCCTTGCAGCAGTTTGGGCTAAGCGCCCTTTATCCTGCCCGGGGCGCACGCAGAACAGCCAACCACTCTTCCCATTACTTCCTCCCCCACTGCTTTCCTGCCCCCAAGACTTCTCCTTTGTGGGGTAAACATACCCATTTTGTTACTCTTTCCTCCTAGCACAGGCTTTTTGCAGATTAATCCTTTGTGCTGTCTTTCTCTGGTCTTTCTCACTTCTGGCCCAGCCCCAGCACAGGTGGCGCGGGGCAGCTGCCTCCAGCAGGGCCAGGGGATGCCTGCCCCATCACAACAGCTCTGTGTTGGGTGACACTTCAGCTTAACAATGCCCTGCAACTTCTGCTGCCAAGCTGGTTATTCTCCGCTTTTTGCCCACACATGTCACTTTGTTCTCCATTTGTATTTGTTCTTGCTGGTCTGTGCCTTACTGCTTTCAGAGCACGTCTCCGGCAGCCATGATCTAACCCCGGCCTCCCAAGGCCCCATGGCTACGTGAGCTGGAAACGCTGAGGTAACTGCTCCCTCCTGGAGCGTCCGCGCTGCTGAGACCTGCTGAGCATCATCCTTCCCCCAAAGACCTTTGAGAAGTACCACAGCTCTGCAGGCCTGCGGGTTTGGCGGTAACCTCACCCTTGCTATGAGTTCACCAGTGCCCTGCTAATGACTTTACAGCTTCTGTGATTAAGATCAAGATATCTAGGTGATCCCAAACAGAAAGCCAAGGGATGTTATTCGCAGTCGGTGTAAACTGAGTCACCCAAATAAAGCCCAGAGAGGAGGAGGCTGACTTGTGAGGTTCCCTGCCTCATTAGGGAGCAAGAGGGGGTCCTGCTGGTGCCCGTTTTCAGAGCTAGGCTGGACAGCTCTTCTGGGTCAGCTGCTACATGGAGCAGGATACAACGCGAGAGGCCCAGCACACAGCAGGCCATCTGGCCCCATTTGGTGTCCCCAGCACTTGGCTTCCTACCAGCAGTGCTGAAAGCAAACACCCATGGTGTGGTGAGGCTCTGCGTGCGGCGCTCACCTGCTGCGTCCCGCCACAGCCGGATCCCATTCGCAGCCCTCACGCACGGCCTCGGGTGGTTGGGAACTCGAGCGCCACAGCCTGCGGCAGGGCGAGGGGTGCATGTCGGTGCGCAGGGAGGGCAGCCTCAGTCCCGTGGCAGCAGCGTGTGCGAGGCCGAGCTGGCTGGCTGGCGTGTGCTAGCCCCTGCCCACAGCCCATGCCACTGGGCTAAGACCTAGCATTGCCCAGCATGGTGGGGCCTGGATCTCTGCACAGCGGGGACTGCTGGCAGCACGGGCAAGTGCTTGAACCCCCTCTTGCACTCTTGCCCTTTCCTGGGATTTTTCAGTCTGTCCCAAGCTGTTATTAAAGCCCAGCTAATGGCAGGCTGGGGGGTGGCTCAAGGCTTTTCTCATGTGAGTAAGTTTTGCCCATAGCAAGGTTCTGGCCATGTTTGTACAGACTGGTCCAGCTCATGCCCCAGCATCAAGCTTTTCCATGTCGTGCAGAAGCACTGTGTGCCTCCCTTCGGCTGCTGCTTTGCTATGTAGGACAGGAATTCAGCTTATTTGCCCTGTAATGGAGCACATATGCATCTCCCCGAGAAAGGAGCTGCCTCTGTGCCACCCTGAGCAACCACAACTCGCAGCGCTCTCAACAAGGACTCCGTGGGGCTGCTCATGCCCCACAAGACCACGCTGGGGCCCAGGCACCCCGGGTTCTACTTGCAGTGCGAGAGCGTGGGCTTCTCTGGGACAGCAGGTTAATCCAACCGTCGGCTTCCTGGAAAGGAAGCGCTGCATGGGGTTACAGAGTGCAGAGGAAGTGTAGCAATGCAGTGAGCGAGCGGGCAGTTCGAAGGTTCGGCTGCTAGCCTGAGACTCGGGAGGCCTCACCCCAACCCTCTGCCTTGGTGTGGGCTTCCTATGGTGCCTCCGGCAAATTTCCAGGCCCTGTCTGCACTTGTGACTTTGGTTGCGCTGTTCATGGAGCCAGACACATTTTGAAGAGCCCTGATGGCTACGAGTGTCATTGCTTCCAAGAAACAGGGTCCCTCAGGATATCGCGTGCTGAGCAAGCAAATCCCAGGAGCCATGCTTCAAAGTGAGGGCTGTGCTTCCTCACCTGTGGAGGCTCCTCGTGTTTCCCTGCAGCATGCTCTGAAAATAAATGCATTCAAGGCAGTGAAATGCTCTGATAATAGTCAAGGCTATTGTGCCAGTGCCGCCAGACATTTCTGAAATGGGAAATAGATGGGCATACATAAAAACCAACAGTGATGCTACTGCAACGAAGCCAGGCAACACCCCCAAGCAGCAAGCCTGCAGCCACACATGGCTCTTTCTTTCAGCTTTGTTCCTGTGTCATCCCTCTGAGTGACAAAGCTGGTAAGAAATGCCAGGAGTGCCCACACAAGGCTGCACTGTGTGCCAAGCAGGGTACATTTGCGCTGTGATAAGGCTGCACAGCAGAACTCTTAAAGCCTCAGAGAGTGACCACGACTCATCCCCTTGCTGCTGGGCGCTTCTTGCCTGCCTGGCACCGTGGAGTCTCACCAGTGCTGTGGCCATGGGAAGTGTGAGCTTAGCATATAGCTGCTAGGCTGAGCAGCAGCCTTGTTTTTAATATCCCTGTGCAGAAGTGCATCGAAAAACAGTAAAGCGGGAACTGGGAATTGCTGCTTCCCATGGAAGGGAGTTCACGTGCTCCTACCAGTTGCTTTATTCATTTTTTGTGGCACATGGAAGAACTTAGCCACGCTGAAGACGTGCTGCTGTCCACACTAGAGAGCAGCTCCAAGGCAAGATGGGCATGAGTAGGGGCTCCTCAGCCCTACACACTGGCACCTCTGGCTCCACCGACCTCCTGTCAGCTCTACCAGCCCCAGGGATGCCAAGGGGCTGGACATTAAACCCCACTTCACTATTTCCCCCTTGACTGTCCCAGCCTAACCACATCTCTCCTGGCTCGTCCACACTGCCTCTACCGTGCACTGACTGAGGTGAGGAGCGTATACAGATGGGAAACATGGAAAAACTGGGGACAGCAACACAGAAGAAGAACAAAAAAGCAAAAGGGGTGAAGGCATATGAGAAAAGATAGTTGGACATGGGTCACAGGAAGAGGCAGAGGCAGGATGAAGCCAGGCCACAATGTGGACGTTGCCCTCACGGCGCATGGACCCTTCCTTCCCTCGGTTCTGATGGCATGAGCAGATGAGGAGGCAGACTGCCCATGCTCTTTGGCTGCCTGGTCACCTCCAGAGAGCATGGGCTGCCAGGGGGCACCCCGCAGCACTGCTGTCCCAGTGACTGCTTTCAGGGCCCCAGATTAACGAGACCCATTCTGAGGGTGGAGATAGCCCCAGGAGGTATAGACTGGGGGGCAAACAAGGGATACAAAAGAGCTCCTGTCCAGGAGTTGTTCCCCAAGATGAGCAGAGGGAGAACAGCAAGGACACCCCCGCCCCAACATGCCACAGTATTCCTGTCTTCTGTGGGGCTGTCCCATGTCCCCTTGTACCAGCTGTGCCAAGGAGGGGCTGGAGAGGGCAGACAGGGAGCCTGGACCCACGTGCAACAGCTTCAGTTCTCCAGGGGTAACGCTGAGCTCTCATATGGTGTGGAGGTGTTGGGGCTCCCTTCTGGGTCTGCAGCATCACTACCACTTTATATTGCTGTGTGCCAGGGATGATCTTATTCCCCTTATGGACTAGTGGTGAGATACGGATTTGTGGTTCAAAGTATTAAAGAGCTTGATCCTATAGAAAATACCACTTCTACCAAAACCAGACCTCCCTTTGAGCCTGTCCTTCTTGGGTAAGACTGTTTTCTCAGAGCACATACATGAGCTATTTGCACAAACAACTTTTGCGTGGGACCTGCCAAAGGTACTGGCCTTGTCCCCAGGACCTGTGACAATGGCACCGGGGGCGGCGGGATGGTGGTGAGGGGGTTGTATGGACGTGGGAGGCTGCCTGGGAATTTCCCTGGCCAGGCTCAGGTAGTAAAGGCTGCCAGGCACCGGACTGCCCTGCCCGAGCGTTGCCGGTGCCGCATACGGCTCTGCTCCTCCTGCCGCTGGAATTTCTGGGGGCTCCCAGCACCACCTCCTCCGCACTTGCCCTCCTTTGGGGGTCCAAGTTTCACAGCCAGAGCTGGGGCTTTTCTTCCTTTACATCTCTGATGTTTGTCTCAGAGGAAACCCATCTTGCTGTTTTTCAAACCGCCTGAAGGTATTTTTCGGGGGTTTTTCAGGCTATTTTGAAGCTCGTTTTTCCCAGATGTGCTTTTTTTTTTCTCTCTCTTCTTTTTTTTTTCTTCTTCTGTAACTTTTCTTCTTCATCTCAAAGTTTCCGGCCACGTGACTTTCAGCTTACATCCCGTAGGTTCTGAGAAACCACAGGAGGCCGAGACCTAAAGGGAAGGTGCAGAGCCTCGAAGAGGAGAGGCAGAGAAAGTGACAGAGAGGGAAGAAGGACAACGTGCCACAGGGAAGGACAAGAGCAGGGAGGCAGAGGTCCAACTCAGAGAAGACACAGAAGGGCACGGGAGAAAAAAAAATTAAAGAAAGAAACCAAGCACTCCAAGAGCATAAAGGAAGCTGAAGAGGCCCCAGAGAGGCAGAGACGGAGCCATGCCCCACAGCTCCGACAGCAGCGACTCCAGCAGCTTCAGCCAGTCACCCCCTCCCAGCAAGCAGGTAAGGGGGATCCCTCACAGCTCTCCTGCTTCCCGACAACCTTCACAGATGGGCAGGGTGGTCAGCAGGAGGAGTAGGAGACTGGCACCCATCGCTGGCGTTTTCACAGTGCTCCACAGCAGGGCTTTCTAGGAACAGGTGTTGGGGAGAGGGATGCAGAGCCAGGCAGCAAGCCTGCGGCGCCACACTGAAGACAGGTGGAGAAATAAAGCACATTAGCTGGGGCCATGCCAGGGGCGTCCGGGATGCCAGGACCCTTGACGCTGTGGGCCATGCGATGCCCACCCGTCAGCCAGTGGGCAGGAAGCCACAGCGTGAGAGACGGGGCTTCGTGAAGAGCTGAGCACTCATCTCCTCTCCACAGGCCCAGAGGGCTCGAGGGAACCTGAGGACTTCCCGCTGCCTCAGACATCACTCAGGGACCAGGAAAGCCCTGGCACTTTTGGTCACTCTTTCTCTGTTCAGCCTCAGAAACTTTTCATCTCAGAATAGTGCTGGACAGAGCTTTTTTTGTTGTTGCATGGAGTATCTTAATGGTAGGTCTTCCGCTGGCAGATCCTGACACATCCAAGGTGTTTCCATCTCCTGGCTAAGCTTCGTTATATTTTATCATTTATCATTTGCTCTCTGACTATAGCTGGAAACACAGGCAAATATCTGAGGCTTTGCCCAGAAATGAAAGACCTCTCAATCAAGGCAGATCATGAGGTCTTCCGATCTTGGAGGAGAAGCATCTGGGCAGAGAGGGGGATTAAGCAGAGAAACTGCTAAAGGATAAGGATCAGATCTGATGCAAGACTTGGGAGCTGCCATAGCTGAGAGGTTTGCGAAGCATTGAAGGGAAGGATAAAACGGTTAAGCTCAAAGAAAAGCTCTTGGGCGGGGTGGCGGGGGGGGAAGAGGATGTGCACAGACTGATGGGCTGGGAAGATAACTCTTGCGGCTGAATTTCATAGTCCTGTGGGGGAGCGGTGGTGTGAATGTTAGGGAGTCCACAAAAGAGACAGTGACAATGTGAAAATAGAAGATGAAAGAGTCTGAATGACGGTTTTAACTGTCAGAAGGCAGCAGAAGGACCAGATCTGAACAGGGAACTGCTGCTGTGTGAAGCTCATGACCTTGAGCAGGGAGAACTGTGAGCTTCTCTGCCCAAAGTGCTTGGGAGTATTTCAGTCAGCATGTTAGAGAGAGACATTGCTCCAGAGGGACTCCAGAAAAGAGCAAGCATAATGGGGATTATGGGGGAATAGTTTTACTGTAGAAGTTATTTAAATTGTCAGTTCGGGATGCAGTCTTACCATGTTCCCTCAAGCCATAGCCCACATCTGTATCTTGGTAAAGGGAGAGTCATCTCTTTCCTGCTATGCCAGGAGGAGCAGGGTACCAGATATGCCCCTCCTGGCAACAGGGATGTGAAGAGCATCACCCCTTCCTGCGGCAGGGCTTTACCCTGGTGCTCACGTCCCTGTGTCCCACATCCTGTGCTTCAAGGTTGTTCCTTTGGGGCTGCTCCTCTGTCTCCCCTTTCCACCTCTCCCAGTCCCTGATCCCTGTGCCGCTATTGCAAGGGGAGTGAGGGTACACCCCCGTCATTTCCATGTCTTGCGTTTCTCTAGGATTCTTCTGATGACGTGAGAAAAGTTCAGAGGCGGGAGAAGAACCGCATCGCTGCCCAGAAGAGCCGCCTGAGGCAGACTCAGAAAGCAGACACGCTGCACTTGGTGAGCACTCCCATCCTTTCTCCATCCTCAGTGCTGAGCGCTCAGTTTAGACAGGACAGGGAAAGCAGGGACCAAGGCAGGATATGAAAGTCAGCATTAGCAGCAGCTAGAGCACATAGCCCAGTCAAGGGCAGGATTTGGCCATTCAGTTGCCCAAACACATTTGCCCTTCAGCAGGTCCCCAGTGAAATCCTTTGCTTTTGCTGCTGCAGCCTTGAGTTTCCTCTCAAGGCTTAATTAGTGTAATTGAAGAATTAAATGTTTGCTTTTTTGGGAGGGACAGTCACTTTTGATTGTGTTTGGGCAGCATTTTGTGGACAGTGTCAGAGCACGGCACAGGGCTCCTTTGCATTTCTGGTAAGTGAAATCCCATGTGTATCTGGCTACAGGTGATCTGGAGGAAGAATGCAGTGGGCAGAGACTTCTTTGTCCCTGTGCTGTGCTGGCTGCTCTTTGAAAATAGTCAGGGCTGTGTTCAAGAAACGATCTTTTGACTTAGCATTCTTGACCCTCCGATAAATCCCCACTTTTGGGGAGAATTTTTAAGAAGCTGCCTCTGAATCTTCCTTCGTGTGTGGTGCCCTCACTCTTTGCTTAGAACTGTCTTTTAGTCTTTTATCATTAGCTTATTATCCTTCTTGGGGCAACATGGCTTGGTGTTGGCACTCTCTTCAAGACAAACCTTGAGGTGGACATGAGCTCTGATCTTCCTCCAATAAAATCCTTAACAGCTGTGCACCAAGAAGAAACGGGCAGCTCTTCTTAGGGCAGACAACAAACCACTTAAGAGGTTACTGCTACTCAGCTGATAGTGATATTGGAGACACTTTGCCTGTGTTTAACGAACCCAGGACAGGAGCAGCATGTCTCAGCTCAGTCTCACAGGATGAAGAGAAGATGCTCGCAGGCAGGGAGACAGCTAGAGGATATAGAAGCAGACAGAGACAAGGAGAGGATGTACATTAAATTTTTCTAATTTTTTTTCAGTCCTTGGTCACAGTGACCCTCTGCTGCTCTTGGGCTCATTCCCTGCGTGCCCAGGTTAGCTCAGCACTGGAGACCACATATCTCTCTCTGATATGGTTTTGCTCAAGAAGTGAGGCTAAGCTTGGGCTCCTGTTGGTGTGAAAGGACACAGCAGCTCTAGCTGCCCCAGGACTGCGTAGCTTTTGTTTTGAGGGGAATGAGTCACTAGGAGGCTGGGGCTTCCCAGCCCCTTGGTGATTCCCGTCAGCTCCTGAGATAAATATTGGTTGTGATTTGCAAAACATTGTCATGTCTGAAAGATGCTAATTTCCCTTGCAAGGCCCTTGTGTGATGGCTGTTGTAAACAGCGGGTGTGCGAGGTGCCCCAGCACGCAGAGCGGCCTCCGCTGGACATTTGGTGCGACACCGGGCATGGGGCTGACGGACAAGTGGAGAGGCAAAGGCTCTGCTTTGAGGGGCGGTGGGAAGTGCCAAGGGGTACAGTTTGGATGGCCAGAGGAGGAAGAGGTTTTTCTTGAAGCTGTGTCTCGCTTTGGTCCTGTTGCCTGGATGGCCACAGTCTGCCTCTGCAGCCTGCCTGTTTTGCGGGTCCTGCCTGGGCCACAAGCAGCACCGCTCCACCTGCATGGGATGCTCCAGGCTGCGTTTTGGGAGCAGTGGAGGCAGTGAGCTGTGATTTGCTCACGATCTTTGAGACCAGACTAAGCATCTTTATTAATCCCTTTGTTGTTGTTATTATTAATAACAGTAATAATTCTGTTCTTCTGAGGCCTCAGTTTCTCTTTTCTTCTGACTCAAGCGTCTCTCCCTCCGCACTCGCACTGTTTAGCTGGTTTCCCCGGCTGCTAGCAGGAAGCAGTGAGTCTTTTCTTTCCAGGGCAATGACAGGTTTCCTGTGGCAGGTGGTTTTCTGGTTAAAGACGGCGGTTATTTAGCACCCCCTCCCCCGGCCGGCGGCCGCGCGCGTGTGCGTGAGAGGGAGCTGAGAAAGCCTGGGCGGGAACCCGCCGCAGTCACTACTTCTCGTACGCGGGCGCCCAGGCGGGAGCCGCTGGGGCCCGGGCGCCTCGCTCCTCGCCACGGCCCGGCCGCTGGGGGAGGGGGGTTTGCCCAGGCACCGCTCCGCTCCGAAATTGCCGGAAATATGTCATTCTGGAAACTCTGCGGGGCAGAGAGGCGCCCGGCAGCGACCCCCACCCCGGCTCCCCGCTCGCGGTGCCTCCTGCCGCAGCTCCAGGCTCTGCCCCAGCCTCGCGTCCTGCCTGGGGGCCGCGAGCGCGGCCGCTGTGCGATCACTTCCTCCGCAGCCGCGTCTGCTCTTCAAGGCCCTCCTCACACCCGCTGCTGCTGCGGGGCGCACAGGAAGCGGCGCGCTGCCGAGCGGCGCGCGCGCGGGCCCTGCTCCGCTGCCCGCGGAGCGGGTCCTGTCCCGGCGGCAGCTCTGCTCCCTCCAGCCCGCAGCGTGGCCTGCCTGGTGGAGATTTCATTTCTTTCCCTGTCCATCCAGCCTCGTGCCGCAGGGACTGGCCTGCCCGCATGTGCTGCATTTATATTGGTGTAAGGTGAGCAGCTCCTGGGCGAAGATGGGTAGTGTAGGGAGATCAGAAAGGGCCCGACACATTGCACTGCAGTGTCCTCATACAGGGACACACATGGCCTTGGCTACTCTTATGTCTTATACCTAAACACTGCAATATAGCTGCGTGCCAACCAGCACCCAGGAGCTGCCCCATCTTGCCTGGTCAGCTCAGCTCTGCACATTTTTGTCCGCTGCCCATATCCCCAGCTCATCCTGGTGGATCCGTGCTCAGGAAGGCCCTGCTGGTTTTGTCTCCACAGGAGAGCGAAGACCTGGAGAGGCAGAATGCAGCCCTGCGCCGAGAGATCAAGCAGCTGACAGAGGAGATGAAACACTTCACCTCAATGCTGAGCTCCCCACCGTGACCCGTGCCCCCCCGCCACCCCCAGAGGTGCTCTATGCCACACACTCCTTCCATCAGCCCCACATCAGCTCCCCGCGCTTCCAGCACTGAGCCGCCGCCGGACACACAGCCCGCAAGCTCTGCAAGTGGCCATAGCTGCTGCGTGGGGCTCGCTCTTTCATCCAAGGGAGAAGGACAGACAGACGCCCCTTCTCAAAGTGCATGCTCTGAGCGACTCGTCTAGGACTTGTCCCCTGTACAGAAATGGCAGAGCCACCAGGAGGCATCTTTCGGCAGTTTCCAGCTTGGATCCTGGCAAAGAAGAGGCATTCACCTAAGGGCAGCAACCCTCTTCCCTGGAGTTTGTGTTGGGACACTTGCAGGAGCGCGTGCGAGATGCGCAGCCTCCCTGAGAGCAGCCACAGGGATGCACAACAAGGGGAGCTCCAGCGAGAGGAAGGGGAACAGGGTGGAAGGGAATTCCAGGGGCCATAGAGTACCAGGGCAAAACTGGTTTATTTTTGTAAAATAAAGAATGAAAATACTTAATCCCTGTTTCCAAAACAGGTTGAGCTACTTCCAAGGCACTGTGTGCTGCAGAAGGACCCCAGGCAGTCTCAGAGGAGAGCTTGGTGTTCTGGGGGCAGCCCTGCACGCGCTGGCATCCAACCAAGGGGCAGCAGCTGCAGCCTGCACTCAGTGGGGATCATGCACGTGGGCATCAGTCCGTGGGGTGATGGAATCTCTGGGGGAGATAGGGTCTTTCTTGCTACAGGGATGCTACAGAGCCCTGCCTCTTGAGTTGCCACATAGTATCCCAGCTCTCAGCCCTGCTCCACGCCGGGAGTCACCCAAGCTCTACTCAGACAACGGATAGTCTGACGTGTGTGTGTTCCCCTTGCCCGCATGCAGGCACAGTGGCATACACTGTCACCTCCTGTGCTGGCCGTGGTGGGCTCTAGCTTGATAACCAGTGTAACTGAGAGGGAGCACAGCAGTGTGAAGGTCTATGCAGAGCAGATTAATTCTGATGGGTCTGACCTAATGGAAACACAGACCTGCCCGTATGGGTGGTCTCTATAGCTAACATTCCAATCAACCAGCAGTCTGTCTGTATGTCCGCATAGCCTTAGTCTATACCCAAATTTGAAAGTCACCTGCCTGTGCAGGGCTGACTTCTACCCCTGGCTCAGGACTACTGCCCTCTCTAAGGACCAACAGCTGCAACTTTTTCAGCATGGCGTACCATAATAAAATGTTGTTAAAACAGTCTTCTGTGGGTTCTCAACTGAGGATTTGAGCTAAATGGACCCATTTTTTGGATGTCCCTCTTCCAGGTGCAGGAAACAGAAGTATTTCCAGATGGACTTGGGCCCATCATTGCAGCCCTCAAGAGCATTTAGGAAAAGTCTGTAATGTGCTGTGCCTTGCCCATTTGCTCTGCCTAGTTTGCCCCAGTGTACAGGGTACAGCCATCCTTCAGAGAGTGCTTCCCAGATAGTGTCCAGGAAGTGCTGGGATTTTTCCTGCTCTGGGCTGTTGAAGAGGCCTGCAGACCTCCTGTCTCCTGCTGGTATGCTTGCATGGAAGCACCATGGTTTGGGATGCCTGGTTGTCAGCATGTGGGCCTGGATGTTACCCTCCTACAAAGCCAATGCCCACCCTGAATGATCCTGGCCTAGACTGTGCAGCTCTAAAATCCCTGGAAGAGGTGAGGATGGTGGTTACTCTAGCAAGGCATCCATACATGCAGCAAACAGAGCTACTATTCCCTTGTGTAGGCCATGTTTTGAGTCACTCAGGCTACAAACACCCTTCCCAGATTGTATTTCTCTGGGATTTCTTCCTTTAAGTCTGGGAGAGACAATTAGCAGCAGCTCTGCAGGACTCAGCTTGGTTTTGCTGCTAAAAAAATCCACTGCTCCTCCACCTTCTGGTGGGCTGGCTCCACTTTCCTTCACTCACCCTTCCTTGGGCTGTGATGCCCTCATGGTTATTGGGTCACAAGGAATGAGAGAAAAGAGCTATTGTAGCTTGCTTGGGGCCTGCCTTGCAGAGACCATAGCCTCGCTTTCCTCACTGAAAGAGGCAACAGAGACCTAACAAAGCCTGCACTGATTTAAAGCACAGTATATTCTATACTACTGGGAAATCTCCAGCCTTGCTGCCAGCCTCAGTGTTTTCTCGTGGCTTTAAAATGCTAACCTTGGTTTTAGCTGCAAATGAAGAAGGTCCTACCTGGCGCAAAGCATTGCCTGTGCCCATGCAGACACAAAGCCATTATTTCTGTCGCAGAGCTGTCAAAGTCTGAGATCTTGCAGGTTGGGTGGGGTTCTGCATAATGGCCCACAGAATTGCTAGACAACCCACTGGTAACGTCTCAGGCTTATTACTGCAACTCAGAATGAAAATAAGTGGTAAGTGGTGAGACTGGGAGACGGATTTGCAACAACATCCTCTCCAGAACCTAAACAATAGTCTTGGCATCATTGACTAGGGTGCGTGCCCTAGACACATGGGTGTCTGTAAGCTGGAAGACCTCCAAGCAGCCTTGTGCTCAGCCGTTTTGACCTAACACTAGACATACGTTGGTGCTAAAGGATGTGTCTTCCAATCTGACCAGTTGTCTTTGCCCTGATCATGCCCTCAAAACCATCATCACAGAAGATCATCTGCATGATTCAAGTGGTTTTTGCTCTCTTAGTTGTTTCTGGTGATCATTAGGTGTTTTGCATTGTTATGAAGAACGGTTCTCCTGGGAGACAGACCACGGAAACAACAGGGGACAACATCTCTGCTCAGGGCCACCAGCCCCTTCAGCCAGCAGTTTAGATAAATGTCCTTTCCTGAGGCTATTTGCAGAGATGCACCAGGTGCTTCTTCAGGCTACGTGAAGATTCCTTCTTATCTATACCTGTGTCTTGCTGCGTCTTGCTCCTGCCCTCTATTCAAGGCTCCTCACAGCAATAATTTTGATTCACAACTAGCCAAGTGCCTGTCCTGGGGTTAGGCCCTCCCTGTTGTCAGATAATGAACTGCTAACAAGCTCCAGAAGGGCAAAGGGCAGGGCGGTGGCCACCTCAATCACCTCCGCTTGTATCTCCCACCCACATCACCAGCTCTTTTGCATTTCATTGCAGCGGCACCTTGCCTTTCTAAAGGGTTGGGCGAGTATTTTCCAACCGTGCCCAGCTGCAGGGAGCAGCCTGCAGCTTGTGCAGTTTGCTGGTTGATGGGGAAGGCGCTTCTGGGCACACAGATGAAGCCAAGTGCCAGCTGGGCCTGTGGCAGCTTGTCCTGTTTGATCCAGGTTATGGCCTAGTGTCGGTGCCATTCATCACATTATAGTTCTGTATCAAAGAGCTTTCTCAAAGCAGCAAAGGAAGGCTGAAGGCTCTCAGTGTGCAGAGAGTCCTGTTTTCAAGTGGAGGAAGGACACGTGGAAAGTTAAGATTGCTCCTTCCAGCAAGCACGTGCCTGCTAAATACTGCGTTTGTGCTGGCCTCTACTGGGCAGAAGCAGAGCTCTCCTGGCATCAGCTGTCCTCAATTTTGAAAAAACTTTTCGTTTTAGACTCTAATATGGAAGAGCTGTCTTAGAAAGATCAGCCTGGCTATTGCAAGGCACTTTGGAAAGGTCTGGGAGGATTAAAGGCAGTGAGTGTGAAGGCCAGGGTGGGGTGTGCATGTAACCAGAGCTCTGGCTGCCTTGGGTCTGAGGATTCAGTAGCTTAGGCCAGGGCTTGGTTCTGCTCTGAGATCCTGGCAGGTTTCCAGCTCTGCTGAAGAGAGTGGGGTGCTCAGCTCGGCATTGCCCAGCACCTCCCGTGCCTGTAGGGTTGGTAGGGCCCGGTGTGGGCAGTGGTGCACTGACTGCAGAGAGGTCTGAGCACAGGAGGGAGTCACAGGAGAGCAATAACAGCTACTTTATTTATTCATTTATTTATTTATTTTGAACACAAAACGGAAGGCAGAAACCTGACCCAAGTCCTGACTAACCACCAACCATAACTGCCTCTCTTGACTCTCTGGAATATATGTGAAGTGAGAATGGTGGATTTCACTTATCAGATACCCAGGAGAGCCCTTGTAGAAGTGGTTAGGCTGGATTTCATCCAGCAGTTTGTCCCTAAGGCTATGGAAATGTCTTTGGCTAAGCTGCCTGAAACCCAGTCAGTCTGGGGCTAGGAGAGCAGTGAAGGTGGTGGAAGGTGGCACTGGGCTACAGCTGGCTGGTGTTCTTGAAGCCTTGGAGACTGTTGTCTCCAAATTTATGCAGCTGGTGTCTTCTCTGCAGTAAGACAACACAGAGGTTTGGCAAGTATTTGTTGGTACAGTCATAGGGTGGAGATGTGAACTGGAGGACACAAGAGTACGTTTTCCATCAAGGCCTTCACTCCTATCATCATCTCCTATGGATGTGACATCAAGACAACTGTGTGCAGAAGGGAAGTAAGTCAGAAAATATGGAGAGTGCTGTAATTTTCAGTTTCTATCCCCCTAAAAGCACAGGCTCGGCACTTTGCAAGTACTCAGTATCAGCATTTCAGGGCTGTTTCTACAGCAAGATGAACGGAGATACGACATTCAGTGCTGACTTAAGCTTACCATTTCTCCCCAGCTGGGAAGCCTGGGCTAATCTTTCATGCTTGCTATACCCTTCCTGCATTCTTCTCCTTGGTTCAGCTGTAAACTCCCCATATGCCAGGTGCCAAGGTGGGAGAAACAATGCCAGCTGTCAGCTCACGGGAAGGTACGTTCATACTATACCTGGCTGTTATGATCCCACTTGTCATCACTATGATGTCCTGCCTCTAAAATGATTTGAGTTTTAAAAAACGATTTCTGGGCAGAAAAAGGGGTACTACCCAAGCACAGTATGTGCAGGGTCTGGGGAGAAAAGGCGCCTCTCTTCCAATTGGCAGAGGTCAGATCAGACAGCTCTCTGGTTCGCCTTGCTTGTTTACACACTTCTGCAAAGCCTGCCTGAGAAGTCACTTCTGCTCCTAATGCCTTCTCTCATCAGCAAAAGAATCATATCCTTTGTATTGAACCAAACCAACAGTCTTCAAAGGAGACCCTCTCTCCTTTTTAAAATGATTGAAGTGTTCA